GAGGGGGGGGTCCAGCGACGGGCTGCTGCCCCACAGCTCCTGCTGGGAGCCCGAGTCCAGCTGGAACCCGTCCTTCAGCACCGCCAGTTTCTGGGGACAGAAACACCGGGGCACCGGTCAGAACACAGGAAAGAGGCCTGACCCTGGAAAGGTCCTGGAAAGGTCCTGGAAAACCTCTGGAACCGAAGGCTAAAAGGGCAAAAACAGCTTCTGGATGCATTTCTGAGACAACATAAAGTTTTAGGATTCAGATAAAAGAGTCACAGGTTTCTGTTAGATCTATTTTCCCATAATGCACCTGTTAAACCATTTAGACTGAAAGCAAAAGAGGCAAAAAACGCTTCTGGATGGATTTCTGAGACAAAATAAACCTTAAAGAGGTTCAGATAAAAGAGTCACAGGTTTCTGTTAGATCTATTTTTCCCATAATGCACCTGTGAAACCACTTAGACTGAAAGCAAAAGAGACAAAAACTGCTTCTGGATGGTTTCCTGAGATCAAAATAAACTGTTTTAGGATTCAGGTAAAAGAGTCACAGGTTTCTGTTAGATCTATTTTTCCCCTAATGCACCTGTGAAACCACTGGAACCGGAGGCTAAAGAGGCAAAAACCGCTTCTGGATGCATTTCTGAGACAACATAAACCTAAAAGAGGTTCAGATAAAAGAGTCAGGTTTCTGTTAGATACATTTTTTCCCATAATGCACCTGTGAAACCTCTGGAACCAAAGGCTAAAGAGGCAAAAACAGCTTCTGGATGCATTTCTGAGACAACATAAAGTTTTAGGATTCAGATAAAAGAGTCACAGGTTTCTGTTAGATCTATTTTCCCCATAATGCACCTGTGAAACCACTTAGACTGAAAGCAAAAGAGGCAAAAACCGCTTCTGGATGGTTTCCTGATATCAAAATAAATATTTAAGAGGTTCAGATAAAAGAGTTTCTGTTAGATCATTTTTTCCCATAATGCACCTGTGAAACCTTTGGAACCGAAGGCTAAAGAGACAAAAACTGCTTCTGGATGGATTTCTGAGACAAAATAAACCTTAAAGAGGTTCAGATAAAAGAGTCACAGGTTTCTGTTAGATCTATTTTCCCCATAATGCACCTGTGAAACCACTTAGACTGAAAGCAAAAGAGGCAAAAACTGCTTCTGGATGGTTTCCTGATATCAAAATAAACCTTAAAGAGGTTCAGATAAAAGAGTCACAGGCAGAGGGAGGCAGGGGGGAATTTGAGCAGGTGCATTGTGGGAGTTTTGAAAGGTGCATTGTGGGAGTTTGGCAGGTGCATTGTGGGATAGCATCCATGTGCATTGAGGGAGTTTTTACAGGTGCATTGCGGGAGTTGGACAGGTGCATTGTGGGAGTAAATACAGGTGCATTGTGGGTGCTGGAC